CTCAAAGTTGGAACCAAAACCACAGAGCACCCTAAAAAAGCTTTTCATGTTAGGGTTAGTTCTGTTTCCAAATATGGAGGTTTCTAACTCCACAGCAGTATAAAAGGCTTAGGGGAGTTTGTGTTTATTCATGGATGCCACATGTTGGAGCCTACCTTTAATGAGTATCGCTTGGGATGTCCAGGGGGTTGTATAGCAGATTAATCCCCCAAGACCTTACTGACTACAACCCCCGGTAATTTAAAACACTAATTACTTGGCATTGTATATTACTATGTTATTCCATAAATGCCCAAGAAATTTAGGCTAAGCTACTAGCCACAGGGAAACCTCAAACTGCATGATAAAAATAGCTCTTTATGTTTCACAACAAATTTTGGAACGTATACACTTAAAAAAATCTGGTTAGAGATGGCTTTTCCAGATTTTCAGAATATACCATAACTCTTATTAGATACACAAAAACAGAATATAAAAAAGCCTGGCTAAAAATTTTAAGAGTCTTTGAAGAGGGGGAAAAAATGAACCTTTTTTCCCAATATTCTTATAAGTGACTCAATGATTATAAATTTGTTTTATAAAGAAATATAAAAATGATCAGGTGGATTAGTACAAGATTTTGCCTGAAAATAAAGGGCTACACTTCACATAAAACAAATTACCTAGAAGACATAAAGAATAAAAAAACAAGATTTTTTTTTAAGAGAAATTTTGTTATCTGAATTATCTATGTCTTTTTGCAAATAGTTTTATTTTGCAAAGCCTGGGGTGAAAAGAAAAGGCTCCAAGGAAAAAAATGTACAGATCATGTTAGTGGAAGTGACAAAAACCTAAACATCTGTGCTACAATAATGGAAGGGAAAATGAATGGGATGAGATATTTCAGTAAGACCTAAAATAGAAGTTTACTACTTAAAACAGTAAATGGAAATATTTCCTTTGTTTTAAAAATAGTATGTAATTATCCATATCACTTTCAGATATTTGATCACTCACTTCAGTGTTCGCAAAATTTGTTTTCTTTTATACCCCTACACTACATTTATACATGCATTTAAGAAACTATAGATTAAAAAGCATATTGCATTTTAGAGAAAAATCTGAATAATCACACAGACATGGACCAACATTTATTACAAACAGGAAAAGAGCAGATCTATAAGAAAAGAGTACAGATTTTTTAAAAAAAAGATTGCAAGCTGAAGTATAGAAAAGAAATCTATATAATTAAAATTTTTTCCTGCATTTAAAAATCACATTGCTCAATATATACAAAACATAATACAGTAGTTTAAACTGTTACTTAGAGGAATTAAAACAGTATTGACAGTGGAGAAGTTTATTTCAATTTAGGTCACCCATGTTCCATCCTGAGTTCACTTCGATTTTCCAAGAAGAAAGGTATTTTTAAAAGTCATTTTTCCCAAGTAGAAAGGTTATTTTGAAAAACTGAAATATGTACGTCACAACTCAGCATTTATAAGAAAAGGATTCACATTAAAAAGTTTTTAATAAAAGGCAATCAATTCTCTACATACTTTTATTAAAGAATTACAGCTTTCACAGACAGCAAGATACATTGTTGCTATTACCAGCAGCATTACCTTCTTCATTTCTCCTTCGGCTAACAATAAAAAAAAATCATCCTTTCATAAGAAAATTTCTTATGAATGTGGCCCAATTCAAAACAACTTACTTCTAACACTAAGTTATTTGTAGCTTACAGTATGCTGTCACATTGATTACCTAGCTACATGAAGAGCTACAGAAACCAAAAGGGGAAAGGCAACTTAAAAAATGTAGCAAAACTATAAATTTTCTCAATTTGCTAATATTTAGTGACCCTTCTGACCACTCTAAAAAGGGGTTCTTTAAAGAGCACTTAGGCTCTAAAGGGGTATTTCACTTAACTCTAGTGTTTAAAAACTCCCATTTCTTAAACTCTAAAATATATTGTACTGCAGATTTAAGACTTCTGTACATGAACTAGAGATGTATTAAAATGTTTCCTTTACTAAAACCAAGCAGCAGCAAAACTATTTTCATATCATAACAATTTAGACTCTATACTGCATCACTTTAAGAAGAGCCATACAATTGTTTGCTCTTATGATATGGCTAATAACATTTTGGAATTCAAGAAGAAAGCAAAGAATTTCAAGCAGTTGAGGCAAAATGTGATCTCCTATATAATATATACAACATTAAAGTAATTTGGCTTAATTTTGAAATTATGTATGTGTTTTAAATATATAGACGTTGGTCCTAAGGGAATTTTACCTCCAATAAGCAACAAAAATAAAAGTGGGTAATGATTTAAGGATGACATTTTAAAGTTCAAATTTTACACAAGTAGCTTTTTAGCAAGGAGTATTGCTAAATGCTCAGAAATGAGAAAAGGTGATATACTGGCAAATATTAAAAATATCAGACTGGTGTCATTAACTTCTTTACTAAAAATTATTTAGAATATGCTCCCATTTGCAATTGATGTTTCAAGTTTAAAAGTAACCCCCCTACTCCCCAAACCCCTAAAACACACCCCCTTCCTTTGCCACTTTGTTCATAAGTAGGATTTACAAGAAATTTCTCTGGGGAAGCAAATTATCTCATTTTTAAAGATGTATGTATTTTCTATTAGAAAGGAACTAAATGTATTTGGACTCACACACACTGGTTTAACTGAACATAAACAATTTTCCCACCATGAAGTACTGAGTTACAACAAATGTATTAACAAAACTTTATTTTCTTGAGAGTGCATACAGGATGTTATGTAAACACTGTTAGTATTATCTTTAAAGACATTCTTATTATTACTTCAGATTTTAATGTATTATAAATATATGTCTTCTTCAGAAATATTAAAGGCCACATTGGGTGATACGGCCAAAGATAACTTTAGCCCCTCACAGGCTAAACAAAGTACAATTGTGAAAATAAAGAGCAAATTAAGAAAGAGGAAAACATAGCTCAGGATATGCATTTTTAAAATTTGCATTCAATTTAACATCTTAATTCCTAAACCAGAAATATAAAATTTATAAAACACACATATATATTCTTTACCATTTTTTTCTCAAAAGGTGTTTTATACATACATTCATATTTGTGTGTGTATGTGTGTGAAACTGCAAACATTACCAACTAAATCAATCAGGCAACTGCTAACAGCTCTGAAATATTACATGAAATGAGTCTGTTATTTAGACAACTTTCAGCCCTCTGGCATAACATCTGGTCTCAGAATTTTTTTTTAGAATGCAGTTTGTATTTTTAGCTAGGAAATGGGAGAAACAGACTCACTGTGCTTATACTTACAGAATGCAGTATCTAACAGCCAATTTCAGTTTCACTTATGCTATAATAAAATGCATGAATAATACCTGAATATTTGAGAAACTGAAAGAAACTTCTAAAACTCAGAACGTACCACTTCATTATACAAAAACTATCATGTACCAATTATGTTAATTTCTGATGAGCCTGCATATAAGCTAATATGTAAAGTCAAACTGGAATGAAGACCAAGTACAGGTGATCCTGGCTTCAGCACACTTCAGACAGGCCTATTCACTCACCTGGTGAATTCCATGACAGTCTACTCTGATGATTAGATATATTAAAGGAAGGAAATGGTCCCAAAAGATAAGTGATAAAACCTTAAGGATATGCTCTTGGTCCAAAACCACAACCAGACTCCACATAAGGTACAATCTCTCTCACACATACAAACACACAAACACACATACCACATACACAACCACACAGAAAAAATTTAACACACACACAATGTTCCTGCTATTGTCCAGTAATTCCCCGCCTCCCAAAGTAATACAATATAAACTACAGCACAAATACAGTGAGTACACTGTAGCCTCAATTTAAATCTGCTATTGGTTGGGTCCATTTCTGAGGGACACATCACAGGTGACACTGTGTTGTGTTGAAGTCAGTACTGCTGATGACTAAAGCCCTTTGATAGGTCCAAAACAGACCCACATGTTATCAAATTTCAGCTACTGTGGAATATGTTATGACGAGGCTGCAGTGTACTTGATTATGTTGAGAATTTATATTACAAAATTAATACTCAAATAAGAATACTTCTTAAGTCATAAAAAGAAATGGATATCATTTTCAGCTTAATGGGGATATCAACTATTCCCATCTTACCCCTTACATCTCATTAATATATCACCTGAAAAATGACTACTTGGTGCCAACTGTTATCGATACATTCACATTTTATTATCATCTGGATTGCTAATTCCGGTCTTCAAAAATGAACATTTCCCTTCTAATCATAACCAAGAATGGGGCCTTTACTCTTTAAAATAAACATGCCTGACTTCAAATTTCAAGAGAGTTAGAAAGAAAAAAAACAAAAAGTATCATTGGGTAAATTATGATTACATAGGTTTGAGTTCGTATTAGCTTATTCCTGTATAATGTAAACTTTATCCTATAGAAAAACGTTTTTTAAAATTATTGAAGTGCTTACATTTATTGACAAACCATGCATTTTCACAAAATTAAAATCGAAAATAATTTTTCACCTAAAGGTTTCATTTAACCAGAGACACTCAAAATACCCTATGAAACTAAGTTAACATTTCTGTATTTTCTTATAATACCGTTCATATTAGTTTGTAAATAGGAATAAAAAGAAAAATGAGTTCTAAATAAATGACACAGGAGGCAATAAATTGACACATGACAAGTAAATAAAAGGCTAAAGCACTCCAATACCATTGAAACTGTTTTAATGTTGTTGCAACTCCAAAATGCAACAATCATCAGCTTGTAAAGACCGAAATTTCAAAAATTCATTTTAATTACTCCTTCATACCTATTTTACAAAATAAAGGCAAGAGACATTTTAAATCCTCCTTGTCCTAGTTGTGCTATCTATGTTCCTAATTTGTTTTCTATCACTATAGTGTATGTTGCAATTCCCATCAAAAGCTATATAAGAAAAAATAAAATAAAATATTAACCTCTGCTTCAATGTACAGTTTCCAGAATCTGCCAGAACTGGGGAACTGGGCAACAAGGCGTTCATAAGTCTTCCGTGCTTTGTCTATAGGTTGATTCTAAAATTGAAAACCAATAAACAGCATTTACAATGTTAGGATTATAAATGTATTATTTACTGCAGAACCAAGTAGTGTGATTGGACCCATAGAGAAGGAAATGTAATCCTATATCACTAAACCTGTGCCTCTCGAATGAGAATGCTCCAAGCGTCAAGGTCATAGGGATTCTCTTCTAATTTCTTTTCGGCTTTCTTCACTTTCTCTGGGACATACTCAGCTGCCTAGGGAGAAAAAAAAACAATGAACTGAAGTTACTGTTTTAAAAATCTCAGGCCTAATTTAATTCAAGCACAACATATCAGCCCCCAGATGCAGTATCACAGTACAAAGCATAAAAATGTCCTCTTATAAAAGAGGCCTGTGTTTCCTATAATCTATATATACTATCTTATCATAAATCCCTTGCATAATAACAAAATCAAGTGAACACATACTTTTAAAAAACATTTTTAAAACTTAAATAAACCCATCTTTTACATGAAATAATATAGAGCAGCAGTTCTCAAACTTTGTATTCTCAGGACCCCTTTTATTTATACCCTTGAGTATACCAAAGAGCTTTTGTTCATGTGGGTTATTTCAGGATTTACCATATTAGAAATGAAAACTGAGAAAAATGTTAGATATTTATTCATGTACAAATAACAATAAAATTATTTACATGTTAACATTTTAATGAAAAATAACTTTAAAAATTCAGCGAGATCATGTTACATATATTTGCAAATCTATATAACGTCAGACTTCAAAATACAGCTGGATTTTCTTATCTGCTTCTGCATTCAACCTTCTGCAATATCAACTCATGTAAAAATTCCACTGTAGACTCATGAGATTAACAGTGAAAAACGCAAATAATGTCTTAAATCTATTATGAAACAGTATGAACTCACAGGTCCTCTGAAAGTCTTGGGAACCCACAGGGTCCCTGGACCAACTGAGAAACACTGAGAAACACTGCTATACAGAATTTATCCTGAACCACAAAGAAAAAGCAAGAAATGACATGGAAATTTTATTTTTGATATGAAAGTTTTAAAAGCATGATTTACAAAGTGTATATACAGCATAATGAAAACTATAAAAGAAATCCACAATAAAACAGATTGAAAAGATTGTACTAGAATATTTAGTAGTCATGTCTGGGTGATAGGTGGTAGAAGTACAGGTGACTTCCCCTCCCTTCTTTTAATATTTTCTAAACTCTTTAATAAGGTAGTTTTATTTTTCTTATAGAAATATAATCTTAAAAAATTAACACCTAAAAGAGAAGCTAGGACCTGAGGCATAAATACAAGTATTACTTCTCAAACTGTTGTTCAGAATACTACTGTGTGCCACAAAAAGAAAGTGATACTCAAAAAATTAAGATAAATGTTAATCTGTACTAAGTTTGGTTTTACCTTTTTTGTAGGACTTCTTGAAATCCACAGTATGGCAATAAATATCAGTAACATTCAAGAGGGGATAGAGAGGGAAGCATTGCCCCTAATACCTTTCTTTTTCCTTTTTTTTTTCCCCTTAGTGGCAATTAATATTTCACCAAGCAATTCTGTCAAAATAGCAGTTGGGAAAAAAATTTTCAAGTCATGTGTCTAGGGGAAAAAAATTACCTGGAAGAAGTATACTTTTCTTTGGAATAAATCAGTTTCCACCACTGATAAGTATACATTTATTTGGAAAGAAAACCATGTTTTAAAAGACATATAATTTTGTATCAAAATTAGGATATTCAACTAATACACAAGAGCTTTGTAAGTAGCTTGCTTAAACTACTTTAGTTTAGAAACTAAAACTGGAAAAGTTTAATAAAGGAGGACCACTGGTCCCACCCACATATTAGAACATAAAATGACAAAGAGTACTGCAATGGTGATAAATCACCAGATCAGAATGGTTCAAAAAGAGGATATATGGAAAATCAGCAAATAATAAAGGTGGCATTTCAAATCGGAATGTTGGGTTATTCAATGCATGGTGCTAGAATAACTGTATCTATCAAAATAAAGTTGAATTCCTATTTTACCCTTTCTACCAAATTAATTTCAGATAGATCAAGATTTAAACATTAAAAACAAAAACACAAGAACCATTGGAAAATATAGTGAAATGTATCTTTGCCCAGGAAGGCTCTTTAAAAGCCTCTGAAAAGAGTAAACTTAATTCTTAAAGTTTATTTACATTTGTGCATGGGAAAAGTATCACAATGACAGTGAAAAGACGAACTTAAAAAATACCCTCAACACACATGGCAAAGTATTAAATTTATTAATATAAAGTCCAGTCACTAAAAGATCAGAAACTCAAAGAGAAAATGGGCAAAGAATTCGAACAGTTCATAGAAAAAGAACAATGAACTTTAAACACTCGAAAGCAATACAAATGTAAGTCACAAGATAGAGATCACGGGTGTTTCTGGGTTTTTTTAAAGATTTTTTTTGATGTGGACCATTTTAACATCTTTACTGGAGTGTAACTGCTTTACAATGTTGTGTTAGTTTCTGCTGTATAATCAGCTATATGTATACATATATCCCCATATCCCCTCCCTCTTGCGTCTCTCTCCCACCCTCCCTATCCCATCCCTCTAGGTGGTCACAAAGCGCTGACCTGATCTCCCACTAGCTATCTATTTTACATTTGGTAGTGTATATATGTCAACGCTACTCATTTCATATGTGGACCATTTTTAAAGTCTTTATTGAATTTGTTACAATATTGCTTCTGTTTTATGTTTTGGTTTTTGGGCCATGCACGTGGGACCTTAGCACCCTGACCAGGGATTGAACCTGCACCCCCTGCATTGGAAGGTTAGGTTTTAAGCACCCACAAAGGTGTTTTATAATTAACATTGCACTGGCAAGGATATATATCAATAGAAACAGACATTCTCGAATTGTTGGCAGGAACAAGCAGTAATACTGACCAAAATTTAACATGAATATCTGACCCTGAATTCCAGTTCTGACAACTTACCCTACTCTACACGTACACAAAGATGTACACAGGACAGTAATCAGCTATGTGACTGTTTGTTGTTGTGTAAGACTAGGAATAATTTAAATAATCATGTGTAAAAGAACTGGCTAAATAAATTATGGAATCCGTAGTCACTAAAAGGAACAAAGCAATGCAGCTCTATAAACAGCAACATCAAACAATCTCCATAATAGCTGGTTAAAAAAACAGGAGTGGATGGGGAGACACACACAGCACATACAAGCGTACTTCACACACTGTATACTCTTCTGCTGTTTGAATTTTTACTGTTCACCTGAGAAATATTTGTTCAGTGCCTAGTGTGTGCCAGACATTGCTGAATGGGCACTTGGGATACAACAAAATAAGATTTCTTTCAAACGGTTTACTTCTTGACAAACTTTAAAAATACTTTAAAATAAACTAGGATTCGTAAGATATCAACTATAATATGTTAACGGTAAAGTAAGAAGTAAATGTGATACAGGAACTTTAAATCAGGAATTAAAAATCAGCTAAATTAATCAATGCTAACAATTAGTGTTTCAAAGCAGTCTGGTGGGAGGCCAAATCACTCAAATCCACTTGCTGAAAATTAACCTACCAAAATTAGATAATGTATGCCATAATCTGCAAAAGAACAGAGAAACTCAGAAGATAGCATCTAATATCTGACCAGCATAATTGCAGCAAGTATAAATGTCTCCTTACAAAATAAAACAAGCCATTCACTTAGTGATTCTCAACCCTGGCAGCACATCAGAATCACCTGGGGTAAAGGGAATTTAAAAAGATGCTCAAAAAAAAAAACTCTCCAGGAGGTTCTAATGTGCAGCCTCAGTTGAAAATTATGGCTCCCTAGGGATTCCAAACTTTTTTTGTGTGTGCTGCTGAAACTTCCTGCAATCTAGAGAAGCCTATGGCCTTTCTAGGGATAATGTTCTTAAATACACAAAATAAACTATGCAGGATTTCAAAGGAAACCAATTATACTGAAATGTAATTATCAAAATATTTTTAAACAAAGTTTATATTGTAATAAATACTTAACACAACAAAATCTAGTGGCGAGTCTAGTGATGAGTGCCAACAGTACTTTGAATACATCTGTCCCAGTCACACAGCTATTGCTAACGCTACTAGTGTGGTTTCTTGCCTACATTCGTAATAGAAGGAAAGGCTCAATTTCAGTTAGAGATTAGTGAAAACTTTTATTTTGCCCATTCAAGTTCAGAGAACCCCTAAAATTCTATCCACAGACACCTGAGGGAAGAGGTTACCAGGGACCCAAGAACCCCATGGAAAGGATGTTGGATCAGATATTAAAAAAACATCTACTGAGCATCTACTATGTTAGGCATTGTCACTCTTCGTTAAGCAACTGATAACCCCATTTCATAATAAAAAATATAACTAAATTTTACATGAATCTGCCCGAAGTCCAGTTAGAATCCAGCAGAACTATGGCTCAGCTCTTCACAGAATCTCTTATAACCCTAAATGTTTTCCTCTGGACAAGGATGTAGTTAAATATTCATAAAACAATCTATTTAGATAATTCTCAATCAACTGAATTAATTAACAACAGAAGGTAACCAAAATGGCCAAGAGTATCCTCTGGTAGTTAAAGGCCACATTTAATTCTCACAATAAAAAGTCATCCATCACCACAGCTATGAGTCAATTGGGTAACCAAGAGCATAACATTTTTGTTTTGTGGCCTGGTTACCACACTGCTGTAAAGCAAATGAAAATTGAGCAGTTTTCTAGTATCCACAAGGAGACTGAGTCTCCATAAGGAATGGACTTGTAATATTATTTCCTGAATCTGTTGCCAGATCAGAGAAATAGGTCACTTTAAGAAAACTTGTTGCAAGTTTTCAGTGCCCATTTGTAATGGAATGAGGTCAGAACTCTCCTTAGTTATAGCAAAAGAAGAGCCGTCTCATGCTTACATGTCCCAAAAACATTACCATAAAGAAACGCTATCAAAATCCAGCTTTTGTCTTTGGAATATCTGTAATCCCATTATCATTCTTCAGGGGGATGATAATGGGGAGTAGGATGGGCCCCAAATCAAATGAGCAAAACAAAAGCTGGACTAGTTCAGTTCCCAAGGCATGCACATTTAATGATACTAGTAGGACAGTGGGAACTTCTTTGATTTGCACAATTTTAAAAACCAGAAAAATAACACAACTGTAAGGAGTATACACATACACACCAACATATACTATTTCAA